AGAAATGCAACTGCTCAGCCCCCCTCGCCACCCCCCTTCAGCCCGATCAGACCCACTCCTTTTCAGCTAAATCCACTCCTTTTCAGCTAAATCCCCAGGGAAAAAAAGCGCTGCATGGCATTAGGCAGCAACTGGGATGCTGTGAAGGACTCGGGGGCAGTGGAGCATCCCTGGAGCTGTGGTACTGCACCAAAGGGGACTGCTTTATCTGGGGAATATTTCAGGCATCGCTCTGCAGGCAGAGGAGCCAGGCTGGCCGTGGGCATCCCTGCAGAGCGACGGCGTGCCAGTGATGTGAGAAAGCAACACAGAGAGACGGTGCAGCTGACTGTGACCTCAGAACACGTTGTTCCTGATATTTCTGTGTTTCAGCTATGGAAGGAAGGCCATCTTCAGGCTTACCAAACCTGGCAGAGTTGCTCTCAGCTGGTTAAGCACTATATCATTTACTGATAGGGACAGTAAGCTGGAAAGAAAAGAAAAGAAAAAAAATTCCAATCATTACAAACACAGCTCCGGGACAGGAGACCAAGGGATGTCCAGCCTTCATTTTATACACCACTACATCCCTAGTCATCCCTTCAGGGACACTGCTGCAGCCAATGCTGGCAAGAGCAGGGGGTTGTGCAGGAGGCAGGGAGGGCAAGGAGCTGCTCGCCTCACCGAGGGGAGAATTGGGGTGATTTCTGAGAAGTGAAGGCTTCAGCACACAGGGTGTGCAGACACCATTGCACGAAAAGAGAGTGCCTCTTGCAGTGTGACCTGAGTCTCGTTGTCTCCCTCTGGTATTTAAATCAGGGCTGTAGTTAAGGGAAGGTGGAGCTGTTATGAAATACCTCCCTGTTAGTTATGGGAAACAAACTATTTACACGTGGTATAACGAGGGGAAATCTGCTGCGTAACATTTCAACACTGCTGCTAAATAGATCACTCTGGGATGTGTGATGCCTGCAGGCACTGCGGAGCCATTTCCTTTTGATAATCAATATGTATCTGGACTATTGAGTTAGAACATGCAGCAGCACACTCGGCAAGCCACAGACAGCAGGAATTCATAATGCATCTCTTTATTTATGCCCAAACTCTGCCCCTAGACACGTCTGAGGAACTGCTGCGAAGCCAATCGCATACATCCACACTCCCTCTTACCCCACAGGGAGCTCATTTCCTGCACACCATCACTTTAATCCATCTAAAACTTAAAATATGACCCCCAGAGTGGATGAGTCGTGTTCCTCTGTTCACTTACACAGTCTCTTTCAAACTAGCTGCTGCACTGATTGAAATATAATGCATAATGCAAAAATTAATTATGAGAAATTCAATGAACCTGAAAAGTGAGTAATTCAAAAGCAATAAAAGAAAATATTTCCCGTGATCAATTTACTGTTGCATTCATCAATACAGGAAGTCAGCAAATTCTTTCTGCCAAGTATTTAATAAGATTGAGCAAGAGATGAGACATTTGCATGGAATTACACACACCCACAGTGCTCAGACTGAAAGTCCATATGCCCAGCATCTTTCTGTGACAGCAGCCAAAGGCAGAGTAAAAAACCAGGGCAAGTGATGGTGCTGTTTGCCTGGAATTGCTCCCTGTCCTATTATTCCCACCCTTTGGATATCAATTCACAATCTAAATCTAAAGAAAGTGCACTGGAAGTGGCATCAAACCTCATACTTCAGATCTTAAAATTTCCATGAGCAAACAGGGCAAATTAACCCTCATCTTCCGACAACTAAGTTTTTTGCCGGTTCCACTGAAGCAACCGACTTTGGCAAGGGGAAAGAAAATACTTTCCCTGAAGCCTGGCTCTGGATCAGCTGAGCGCCGTCTGTGTCCTGGCAGATTGTCTAGATGATTGGATAAAGAGCAAGGGGATTGCATGCAATGGAAAACATAAATCCACAGGCACTTACCCAGAAAGGATCTTGATCTTTATGGCACCAAGAATGCAGAGGCAATCTTCAATGACGACCTGGACTGTGCCCGATTCAAAATTCGTGCATTTTATGTTTGCAGTAATGTTCACATCCACTAAGATATCAATTAGATCTGAAAGAAGGCCAACCAAGCTGAAAAAAGTAAATGGGTTGAACAGATTTCATCTCTCAGCCTCTAACCAGAGGAACTCAGCAAAGCCAGCAGCAACAACCTGCACCTCCACCTCCTGCAACGCATTACAAATGCCACAACCCATCCTTTGGTGCCTGTTCTGCTCTGTAACCTTATCATAGGTAAGAAACACCTAGACAACCATGAAAGATGCAAAAACACCCACACAATGGGAAGCCTGAAGATAGGGTTTTTCCTTAAACACCATGAAACACCACACTCACCAGTTGCCGCTGAGCTCCAGCTTTGCAGCAATGGTCAGCTGGACCCCGATTCCTGACAGCAGCACCACCGAGAGCTTGGGGAGCTGAACCTTCACAAGGTGCAGTCTGCAAACAACAGCAAAAGCTGGCACAAATTAAAGGCATCTTCTAATAGCTGAGCTGCTCTATGCACTGAGGAACCTAGAGCACCTATAACACCATGACCACCTCCAGCTGGAGGGCATGAGCATTATAAGCAAGAGATACCAGCTCCAGGAGGAGAGATAAACTCAAAATAAGGCAATCTAGAATCAGATTGGGGTGGAAGCTGACTGCTTTCACCTTTATAGAGCAGTCAGCTCTCAGTGGCAACTTCCCCCCTCTCTATCTCAGTGCTGTCAAGCATCTCAGATATCAACAGCAGCATCAGAGCCATCATTCTGTGTCTGCATCCATCACCTGCAGTGCACTTCCTCATCCACCTTGCTACCACACAGAAAGCTTTCATCGGATCAGTATTTCAGTATCAAAATAAAAGAAGGATAACTACTTGAGCCAATTGTGTCAACTGCAGCTCAGCTTTTGTTGCTCCAGAATTGTTGGTGAAGGTGCATTCACGGAGAAGCCCTTGCTCCCCACTTACCCAGTGATGCTGGTGGGAGAGCTCAGCAGACCCCCGTCACCCACGATGTTTGGGAGCACAAGCCCCTGCAGGTGCTGCTGGAGAAGCCCGTTATGAATTATGGCATCTGAGAGAACTGGAAAACATCTCTGTGTGAGGACCAATACTTGCATCAACAACCCCTCTCTACTCAGACCTGTCCTGGCAAAGGCGTGATACAACAAAGCCCCACCATTCCCAAAAGCTCCTTATACAGTGCAGTCAAATCACACAGGGGAGGATATTTTAAAACGTGCACTAAAACAAAGCTGCCCTTAGTGAATTAAGCAAGAGGGGTTGCAGTGGAGAGCATCCCAAACCTCCAACTTAAAGAGTATAGTGTGGTTGTCCACTACCAGAGGTGAGAGCAGCAGCCCTCAGTGGTTGTGCTTCAGCCCACAACTTGTTTCCCACATGTAAAGGGGTTTTGTTTGTTTGTTTTTAATAGAAGCAACTTGAAACAAGACTCTTATTTTTGCTGGAGCACTGCAAATATTAACACGGCTGCTAAACTTCACAGCAGCTGTTTGCTAAATATCAGCTGCTCCAATATGGAAATGAGAAACAAAGGCAAAAAGTGCAAATAATCCAGATCTAGCCCTGAAATTCTGTATGGCTGTTTGGTGTCCCAGTTCTGGAGCAGAAAGATTTCCCTGACTTGTGAACCCAGCAATGGCTGTCAGAAGCTCTGAGCAAAGTCAGCAGCCCTGAGGAACTATAAAATAAAGATGAAGACACTCAGGAGGTTTTACTCCATGTCATGGTCCCACGTAGCTTTCAAAACAAATATAACTCATGTCTTCTATTTACCATTCTGCATTGCCCCTGGACTGACAGCGCAGGACAGACCGGACAAGACTTCTTGAGAGGGTGAGAAGAGGCCACAAAAAAAGAATATTCCAAAAAGCTTCCACATCGTCATCTCCAGAAGATTCCCCTGCTGGCAAGGGAGACATCAGAGTGAAAAGTGGTGGAAAAGCATTTAAGAAGAGATCCAGAAGAGATTCCAGTGTCTTTACGGGGAAAGAGATCGAGTGAGAAGTCCCTCCTCTACTCTTTATCGAGCTCAAGTCAGACTCTGCTCGAGCCTGGGGCAGCAGGACCTTGTTCACACCCCACACACATGGACAGACTTCAAGTGTGGGTCAATAAAAGCCCTTTCCTGGCCCTTTGCGACTGACCCGAAATATTCTATGTGTTCACACAGAGGAAAGCCAAACTGCTTTTCTGCTAAACTGATGTTTAAGCTGTCTTTATTTCTGTTTCCCTTCAATGAAAGATTACACGTTTTGGTAAGGGTCTTTGCCAAGGGAAGCATCGGAGGATTATTCTTGTTCTTTCTAACTTCCAAAAGCAATAAGCTCAAGCTCAAGTGATACAAATAAGCTAGCTATAAATTTATAAGTTAATAATTATTAACATAAATTGTATTACGAAATGACAGATATAGGCAGATGATCAGGAGCTTGGAGCACAGCAGAACCTCAAACTGAAGAAGCGAAGCACGAGGCTCACCATGTGCCTCCTTCCAGAGCTATAACAGGATGGCAGCACCACCACCACACACATCTCCCTGCCACCACGCAGCCTTCCCCAGCCGAGGCTTTGTTGTGCAGAGGATGTTATTACCTGCATCAGCTGCAGCCAGCTGGGAAGGGCTCCCGGGTCCGCTCAGGCTCTTCTGGAAGTCGTCGAGACTCTATGTCCTCCTCCCTTTTTTTTTTTTTGCTGCAACTGAGATGGAAGAAGTTGCCCTTATATAAAAACTGCAGCCAACCCAGACACACCTTCTCCTCACGACCTCCACGTCTCAGGAGCAGCCATCCCTCTACTCTCTTGCTCTTTGCAAGCAACACCCAGCTGCCACCTCTCGTGATTTATACGAGGGAGGTAACGTCACCGTTGACTTGACCGGCTGCCGTTTCCCTTTGTGGCCTGGATCACTCAGACACCGCTTTTTTCCCCCCCCGGTCTGTCTTAAAAAGGGTGCCCCGTGATGGTGGCCCCAGTGGGGATCTTCATGCTTTGAGGAAACCAACTTTTTGGGAAATCACGAGAATTACTGAAGCATCTAAACCTGACAGGAGACTGATGGGGCTTGCAAGTAAGAGAAGGCAGCTCACGGAGCACATGGGCACGGATTCAAGGAGGCTTACAGCAGGAAACAATCTACTTTTCCCAATCCCCGAGGACTTATGGGACTTATAAGGCTCATTCCTGTTTCAAATATAGTGCTAGAAAAATATTTTCTTGACAAAAAGCAACGTGGAGAGGTTGCAGAAACCTGATAAATATTGGTTTTGTTAAGACCAAGCTTCAAATTGATTTCAGTTGTATCTGCAAAGAGTGTCGTGAATTGACTGTAAAAAATGAAGTTCTATTGAAATGTATAAAGCCAACAATAAATATTATTTTGAATGAGAAACGTTTGTGCTGAATGAGCCGAGGGCAGCAGAAACACGTATTTCAAAGGAAAATCTCATCCCTTCATCCCACAGGGATGAAAATCTCACTCCTCAGTGGATGCTTTGGCTGGGCTTTGCGGAAGTTTCCATTGTGCAGGGCCCCAGGAAGATCTTATCTGGGGACTTTGTTCAGGTCTGGTCACCCATGTTCGACAGGGATGGAGTCGGGCAGAAACCAGGCAGCAAAAGGCTGCTGACATGATTGGGAAACCAGAGAGGGGCTGTGTGCTCGGCCTCGTGGAACAAAGATGGAGCAGAGATATGATCGTTCTCCACAAACACAGGCGAGGGGTAAATATCAGGGAGGGAGAGGAGAGAGGAGCTGCTCAGGCTCAGGGACAATGTTGGCACAGGAACAGTTAAAGTTCAGAGAAAGCTGCCACCACCATAGCGAGTTTTGGGCTAGCTCTGCCATGGGAATACAGAAGGTGGCAAAAATAGCCTTAGGATACTCTTACAATACCACACAAGGTGTTTTCTTGCAGTAAGAGCAAAGTGCTCTCCCCGAGCAGGAAGGTCCTTCAGCACATGCTTCTGAGGGCTCAGACTCAATGAAACAACCCCATCACAGAAACGCTGTATGAGCTCTTGTTATATTTGACACACGCTCAATCTGGCCTGGATGTGGTGTGCTGACAGTCTTGCCCCAGAAGCAGGGAATGAATTTACCCAGTCTGAGAAGGCTGCAGCAGCAGAGTCAAGTCAAAAATCATCTCCACCAGAAGATGCAGCCCAGCTGGCTGCTGAGATGGTGACTGCAGTGCTTGGCCAGCGAGGAAAGGACAGGGAGCTCCGCTACAAGCTCACCTCCAGCATCTCCCAGAGACCCTTGGTGGGGTGCAAAGTGCAGAGCCACAGAAGCGTGGTCCTTCCTGGCCCCCAGGCACCTGCTCCCTCTCCAGCACATCATGGTGCCCACATCCGACCAGCAGCTCTAGTCCTGCTTTTCCCATTTTCTCCCCAGGTGTCTCAGGGTGATTTACACTTACTGTTTTTATTGCTGACTCTGCCGCTTACCCTAATGTGCTTTTACTGCCTGGGACAACCTCCCCGTGTTCCTCCTTTTTTATTCCCTTTCAAAGAGCTTCATCCAAACGCACAAGGCCGAGTGGTCATCGTAAATGTCCACCGTGAAGCATTGGGGAGGCTCTGGCTCCAGCCTGGTACACACCACAGGAGCATCACTGCTGGTGAAAAGCAGCTACTGAGCATGTACAAAAGCAGATTTCCAAATGGTTTCCGACACGTCGCTGTGTGTACGACGAACGCCCGAGTCGTTGCATATGCACACCACGACCGACCGCTCAAATCAGATAATCTCGCCGTTAAATGGCAAGAGGCAGCTATCTGTGTTCGTACCTGACACACGCATAACGTACCAACAGCAGCCAGCAGCAGCTGTAAGGAAAGCAGCACATTTTATACACTGCCGTAGATATTTCTTCTCGCTGCGTGAGGGTTTTTCTTGTTCAGTCATATCCTTTGCCTCCCCCTCACGCACCTATATTTCATGCTCTCCTTGCAGCAGTGATTTAGATATCACTTACCAGGAGGTTGAATTCAGTTCTGCAGTGACAAGGGAATATATATTAAAATGAAGCATTGCAAGAAATGCTAGAAGAGATTATCACAACACAAATGCTGGGAAGTGGAAGGGCGAATGGAAAGACTAACACCTGCAGAGGAGAGATGCTCCGGAGCAGCCTCTGGTATTCAGAACTGCCCCGAGCTTGTGGCTTAGAAAGATGGCAGGTCAGACAGCAACAAGAACTTTAGAGGAATTAATATTAAAGTCAAAAATTCTGTATTTTTATTAAATATTATTGCATTCACTGATACTGTTTCCTCTAACATTTAGAGCCACAAAAGCTTAGGGAAAAACTTGGGAGAGCTGCATTCACCCCAAACTAAAATGCTGAGCAACATTAAAGAAAAGAAATTCTGATCTTTTCCCACCACGGTTTGAAGAACACGACCACATTTTTTATGACAAATCGTGGTTTTGATACGTTCCAGAGGTTTGGAGGCTACAGGACAACAATATTTTTTCCATTGTTATGTGGTGAAAAGAAAAGAGAGAAGAGTAACCTCTGCCTGTAAAACTCCTTTAACAGGCAAATAGTAAAATAGTAACTCCTTGTTAAGAAAACACATAAACTGAATCCTGTTTCTCAAGGTGAAAAATCTAAATCTGGTAGTGTGAATTACACCCTGTGACGGAGCTGCCTCGTACAAACACCCAGCCTGTTCTCTTGCAGGGACACTTCCTCATAGTGAGTGTCTGCTTCCAAACAGATGCTGTGAGCATTAATGAAACTGCTCAGTTCAACTGTCAACGGAAAGTAACTTCACTGATGTCAACAAGAAGCCACCAGCTCTAGAGAATGGAGAACGTGCTCAGATAGGAAAATGACACCACAAACCTCAAACTAAATGAGGCCACTAGGACAAAAACCGGGAAAAGAAGGGGAAAAATGAAATAGGTTTTAACCACCGGCTGTACCTGGGCTGTGATCATAGAATGGTTAGAGTTGGAAGAGATCTTGAAGACCACCGAGTTCCAACCTCCTCACCATGGGCAGGGACACCTCCCACTAGACCAGGTTGCTCAAACCTCCAGCCTGGTTTCCAAATAGCTGAAGTTCAGCTTGATGAAGTGTTTTCCCAACTTGTCACTTCACCTGGGAATACAGCAACGATGGCAACACAGTGGGACTTGCACCGCAGTAGGTCTGTCCCCTCGGTCGGTGTGTTGGTCAGTGGCAATTCAGTCCAGAGGCTGGAAAACAAATGCATGGAAGAGCATCATTAGGTGCTATATTCACTCTGCTTCACTGCAAGCAGCCTGGCTCAGGGGAAATTTGTTTCCACTGCTGTTTATGAAATTGCTCAGGGAAATGGAAGGAGGGAACCTTTCTCTGAACTCCCCGACCCAGGGTAACACGCTCAATTATGTGAACCAGAAACACTGCGTTAGTGAAGCATCTGTCTTTGTAAAATTACCTGTGTTCTTGCTTAGTCTGGGATGAATAAATCCTCCCAGTGCCAGACTCAAAAGCTAATTTTTAGCAACAGGATTTGTCAAAACATGAACTAAAAATTCCCAGAAATGAGCTGGCGGGTTTTAGTCAGAACTGAAGGAATCAAACCCTCCTCAAGTTTTGGGACTGGAAACCCACGATCCCCACAGCCAGATTTACAGTTGGATTAGCAGCTTCCATTGTCAGCAGTCCACGAGGGCAGAGCAGCTTAATTAATACCAATCACTCTTTAAAACAACAGCAAGCCTTGCCAAATCGATCCTGGGCTCGCTCTGACCCAGGACTCCTGCTCAGCGCACATCCCAGGGAGCTGTGGCATGTTGTGCGTGGGCAGACGTCAAAAGCATCCTTTCCAGCTTCCCTGGTGTCTGATCACTCACCCGTGCAGTTTCCTACATAGGGAACTGGAGAAACAGAAATATAATCTCAGGGAAGGGCCACGCAGAGAGCACAGGCAGGGAAAACAGGGAGGAGAAGAGGAGACTCATGGGCAGCAGCTCCAAGGAGCTGCCTGTCAAAAGGAGTAAGAACAGCAGCATTGATTTCTGGGTGCATCTGCAGTGCCGAGCATAAACAGCAAGGCAGAATAAAATAGCTACCGTGAGATAACAACAAATCAATGTCTCCAGGAATTTTAGACAGGAAACTTTCTGCTTCCGAGATGTGAACTGAAGTAAAATGAGCATAATGTTATCGGCCGCAGAAAAGGGACAAACTTCATTAACCAGATGCAGTGTGACAAGGTGCAGTGCAGAAACGGAGGCACTTGCACAGACACGTCTTCAGGCTTTGCCAACATCGGAGCTCCACAACACAATGCTGAAAGCAGCACTGGCCAAAGGACTCACAGGGGAACCAAGCCACACCAGGCAGGAAAGCCTGGGAAATCCTGAAAACCCTTCCCCAGCTGCCTCAGGCAGGCCTTGGTTTCATGGAGTTTTGTGATATTTTATCAGTTCCTGTCTGTCATCAGCCTGCAGAGACTGAGTGGAAGCCTCAGTGATGCCCTGAGCACCCTTCTAGGTGGGCTTCTTGCATCTTGACTTCTCCAGGTCTGGCACGTTCCAGGTTTCCCCAGAGCATCCTTTTTGATCTGGCCCCAGGCAAGGCAAGCTTGGCCACTTGCCACAAACCTCCTGATGTTCAAAGGCCTGGTCAGGTCAGCAGAAAAGGCTTTAACCTTCCACAGGACTGTGAGGAGTCCCCAGTGAGAGGCTGTGGGGCACGGAGAGGCTGCCTTCCCCACGTTTGGGGTGCATGGCCAGAAGAACCCCCATATCTGCAGGCAGCTGGTCTGAGCTGGCACATGTGCTGCCTGGCACACCCCCCAGCACTGACACAGCAGCATGGCTTTCTCAGTGATGCAAAGTGCACTTTAAAGTCAAATCTAGTCCTATATTTTAAACAAATGAATCCCTTTCCTGCCTCCCTCCCATCACTTCCAATCACTTGCGCTGCGAGCACCGTGAACGCCTCAATTCCTCCTCACTCTTCATTCTTCCAATTTATTCTTTGCCTTCCTTCCAGCCTGGAAAATGGATTTCTGTCCATTTCACTGTCTCAGAAATTGTCAGCACTGTGGTGCCAACAGAGACCTTTTAAATAAAGACAGCTATTTCCATTTGACTGAAGGAGAGCAACACAGACTCAAAGTCATGCTTCTGTCTTCCCTCAGGTTTGGGGCAGCTTTGCTTTAGAGAAAGAAAAGCAATACCTAGTGAAATTGTCCTTGATTGTCTCTATTAATCCCTGGGAAGAATTAGCAGCAGCCTTATATTACATACATACATCTTCTGTAAGTAAAGATTTCAGGCTTTCTGTCTTATTCTCAGCTTTTAATAGAGACTTGCCATGGTCTCTTTGGGCACATCATTAGCACAGGTGGCAGAATTAGTGCCGTGCTCTGTCCAGACCTTCCTCAGGGGATAAATTACAGCCCCTACAAGTAGTCAGGGATTTGGAGTCAGCATTGTGTAAATAAATGCCTATTTCCAGGGAGATACCAACTGCTCTAAAGAAACTGCAGCTGAAACAAGAGAGTGAGTTCATGTTAAACAAACCTTGCTAATGAGTTAATTATCCTGACGAGCAGGACTCACCCATATGCCATTTCCCTTCCATGGACAGTCCAGTGCCGGCTGGTACAAGGATCCTGTCTCAGGGCAGAAGCCTCAAAACACCAGTGCAAGGCTGAAACAAGGAGACAAAGAGGCATTAGAGGAGATAAAACCAGGAGCAGGCTGGGGAGGGTGAAGAACACAGTCACGCTGGCAGGGAGGGCAGCTGCCCTGCCTCTGACCCTGCTGTGGCTCAGCATCCCAAATTCATGCCTACAGCTAGAGCAGATAACTTTGAGTACCCATCCCCTGTCCAGCTCCTGTGCACGGGGGGAGATGTCACAGATTTTACACACATCATCCCTCGGGGTTCCTGTTTCCAAACTGAAGGGTAATTTTGATGCAAAAAAAAAAAAGGGGCAAAGTCCCAGCTCTCAGAGAGGGCAACGAGTGAAGGGGAGCGAGAAACAGCCACATCTCCTCACGTCATGATGCAGGCAGTGCGGGGAGCCTGAAGCTCGCCCAGGACGGGGTCCCACAGTGCCCAGACCTTGAGCCAACATGGAAGCAAGCCACATGAAACTGGTAAATACATTCACACACTGCAGGAAGAAAGAGCACAAGGGACAAGCCCACGGGGACACGCCGGGTGCGGGTAAATAGCACCACGCACACTCAGGGCTGGGCTGAGGCGGATGGAGCGGCGCGGGGCTCGAACCGGCGACCCTGAATGCAGCGGGCGGCTCTGCTCCGGGCGGGGGCACGCTGCGGCTGGGGTTATACCGCCCCCTGCTGGCGACGGGCGGCGCCGCAAGGGCAGGGACTGCCCGGGGACAGGGACCCCCACCCGACCCCGGGGACAGGGACACCCCCGGCTCCCCCCGGCCCCGGGAACAAGGCAGGGCCCAAAGATGAGAAAGGGCGTATGCAAAAAAAAAAAAAGGGGCAAAGTCCCAGCTCTCAGAGAGGGCAACGAGTGAAGGGGAGCGAGAAACAGCCACATCTCCTCACGTCATGATGCAGGCAGTGCGGGGAGCCTGAAGCTCGCCCAGGACGGGGTCCCACAGTGCCCAGACCTTGAGCCAACATGGAAGCAAGCCACATGAAACTGGTAAATACATTCACACACTGCAGGAAGAAAGAGCACAAGGGACAAGCCCACGGGGACACGCCGGGTGCGGGTAAATAGCACCACGCACACTCAAGGCTGGGCTGAGGCGGATGGGGCGGTGCGGGGCTCGAACCGGCGACCCTGAGAGCAGCGGGCGGCTCCGCTCCGGGCCGGGGCACGGCGCGGCTTGGGTTATACCGCCCCCTGCTGGCGGCGGGCGGCGCCGCAAGGGCAGGGACTGCCCGGGGAGAGGGACCTCCACCCGACCCCGGGGACAGGGACACCCCCGGCTCCCCCCGGCCCCGGGAACAAGGCAGGGCCCAAAGATGAGAAAGGGCGTCACGGGATGAGAAGAGCTTCGCTGGAGCCTGATGCCATTTAACGCAGGGCTGAAGGGCCGGGGGTTACTCTGTTAGAGCAGGGACCGAATGCAGAAGGGGTTGGGAATGTCACACAGAAAATGATTTCAAAGACACACACGGGATAACACTCTTCTAAAGCAACTCACAGCAGGGTCAAATTGATTCCTGTGCACAAAAATGCAATATAGACAAAAAAAAAAAAAAAAAAAAACCACGAAGAGAGAGCTCATTTAATTCCCCTTTAACTCTGAAAAGCAATTGGATGCAGTATCTGCTACATTGCAAAAAACTAAATATCAACCTAGAAAACAAATATAGCACAGTGGAGCGAGTCACACACCGTGCCCTAGAATTTCACACTAGAGTGTGAAGTTTTAAAAAAAAAAAAAAAATTGGTTCGAGGCCAATTTCACTCACTCACACAGTGAAAACAAGACTTTGTTAATGTTAAAACAGCACAGATTGATCCATTAACAATATTCACTAACAAGCTCCACCACCAGAGCTGTTTCCATACACGATGGTGACGTACTCACCGACACGGGCACGCCGAAGGTACCCCACCATCTGTGAGCCAGCAGCCCCACGGGAAAGCACAACCACGGTACTCGGCAGCAAAAAAGGTTGTCGTGCTTAAAAAAAACTTGCTGCCGTCTAATTAAAACCTAAATAAAGTTCCGCAGTTGCTTTTAGCATCCTGTCTTTTAGCAAGAGAGACCCTTTGTAAACATTAGGGGGCACAGATGCTCACAACTGGAATTTGTGCATGAAATTAGGGAGCGCTCCACTGAGACGTTTCGGCTGGATCACCCCAGATAAGGAAACGGCTGAACCACGGCCATCAATATTGTCTCCAAAATGAAGAACGGGGGATTCTTCAAGGCATCACCAGGCTCTGGTAATTTCCAGCAGCCTCTCCTGCCTGCAGATGCTCTGACCATAAATAATCACTACACATTTTTTGCTGCCACTGATATTTTATTGCCTGAGGCAACCACTCGCTGGTCTGCCTCCGAGATAAGGCCGGGCGAGCTTCAGAGAGTTTGGATACTTTGAGTGGAATCTTCTCTACATCAAAGTCCCAGTAGGGTTTTTAGTGAGACTTTAGAAACCAAGTTAAGGATTTTTAATGTGCCATACACCAAGTAGCATCAAAGCCACAGCCGTCTGCAGGGAACTGCTGTTTAACAAAGTCACCGAGAGCATGGAAATAGAGCTGAACTAAACAGCTTCATCACTAGTATTTTGAGAAACTCTTATGTACAGGAGATGAGCACTCTGGAGGTTTATTTGGAGCAGAGAGTCTGGATAAAAAAGACGACTTTCCTATTTGCCATATAAAATTACTGAGATGAAAATGAGGTCTTGAGATTCTTCAAGCTTGTGGCGCGCAACACGGAATAAATACCCTCATGGAATGATGCTCACGTGTGGAATCAAGGTCATCTCCAGCAGTTAGCAAGAGAGCTCTGCCCCCTGATCTTTGCTATTTCAGCACACAATTCTTTCTTTGCCTTTTCTCAGCAGAAGTGATTGCTAAGCAGGGGCTATCTGGGCTGTCAGGAGAGGGACCATGTTTAATACGACCACAAGCATCAGCAGTATCACTGCCCGGGAAGCACAGTCGTGCTGTTCAGACTCGGACTAGACCAGCCACTTGTAAATCATTTTTCTCCTGCTGTTTATTTCTTCCCAGGAACCACGAGCATCTTGTCACTCGCACCCAATTCCCTGCGTGCCGGTGACACCGTGCCCTCCAGGACAGGCAGCCAAGGGGTCTGTGATCAGACACCTGGGGCTTCGGAGCCTGTCTCAGCCCTCCACACACACCCCAGCAACAAAGAGCAGCTGTTTTGTCCACCCAAACACAATTCAGCACGGAGGAATCCAGCCGCTGCCGTTGCATTGAGAGCTTTATCGCTCGCAGCAGCACAAGCTGCTTTTCTGGAAGCTGGAGCAGCCGTACGTTTTCCACCAGTTACCTCTATTTTATAGAGAATGATTAAGACAAGCCAGGGCAGAGAAGGGCTGCCATGGAGGAGGGGGATACACTGCTCCCATCTGCAGCTCCACACCCAAAATGAATGTCAAAGTGACTGGGCATTTAAAGATATAACACAGAGAAAAGGGAATCGCAGCAGTCGTCTGTCTGGCCTGCAATACGGTAACGGCTTCAGATCCACACAATTCTCTCACTTGTTTTCACCTAGCTGTGAGGCAAGGAGGAGATTAGACATTTTGAGACTTAATTTTCTAAGGAGAAAAGCAGGATCCTGATTAGATGCCTGTTCCTTGTCAAAGAAAATGTGCACCCGGTCCTACATTGCAACACTCCTCCTTCCTACTCCTTCACTTTTTCTTTTTTAAAGTAACATCCCCAAGCATCTCTCCAGACCAGCAGGGAGCGTGCCTACAGATGCCACAGCCCTGTTGCTAAATATGATGCTGCTGACATTTGTGCAAAGCAGCAAGCCTAAATTGAAATGCCTTGGACAGCTTTCCATAAACCCTTCTGCTTGGACAAAGGCAGCTATATCTGCTGTAAGCCAAGAGCTGGGCAGAAGCAGGTTTCCCAGTTGCCACACAGCTGAGAAAAAAAATAAAAATCACACAAATATTATTAACTTAATGCCAGCCCTGGGCGCCTCCACCAGCTATCAAGGCCACCTTCAGCTTTAGCAACACGCAGTGGCTTGTAAAAGGCTGAGCTGAAACAGTATTTCATGGCTTGAATTGCTTCAAATCCCCAAGGAACAAGTGTCAGGACTTTCAATAGCTATAGTGTTAATAATAAAACAGGGACCTCTTCCAGTATCAGAGCACAAACAGTAGTTATTTCTCTTTCAAAGCTTTGATTCCTAAAACCTTTCTTACATTCAGCTTGACATCAAAACACCCATCTCATTCACTCAGACTGTCACAGGAGAATTGTGTGCTGCTATTAGAAATAGCCCTGAGGTGAATTAAGAACAGCCTGTAATGATGTTCCACTAGAGCAACTTTATTTCTACCAAACCAAATAAATGAGCAATATTTTATCTGATGTGCCTTGGCTCAGCAGAGAGCGGCAGCTGCTCCCCATATGATTTATTGAATGGATGTTTTCTAAATAGCCGGAGTCGGGCTCTGAAGCCACTTACAAAATCTCCTATTCATAACAGCAGAGATAGGGAGAGAGAAATTCAGATTCTGGGTAGCGGCAAGTTTGGGCACGAACCATTTTATTTGCAATTTTTTTCCCCTATAAACAGAACACACATGCAAGAAGCTGTGTAACAAAATCTATAAATATTGATGCTCAACAGCTGGCAGCAACCACACAGGGCACAAACAAGCCTCTTGTTATACAAATGCAGAAGCAACCCAGTCCCTTTCCATCCAGCAAGTAGTTGCAGGAACAGCGGGTGTTCAGAGGCACACAGAGTGCCTGCAGGAGACTGAGAGATGGGGAGAAAGACTCAGGGAGGGGGGGAAAGATGGACTTTTCTACGTTTTTGGAAGTGGTACCAGCAACAGCTCACAGCACTGGGGTAACAACACCATCTACCCAGTAACACTAGATTGCTGCACCAGTTGCCCCAGAACAGCCAGCCCCTGGCCCTGCAATGAGATAAGCAGAGGCAGAAGTAAAAAGACAGAAAAAGAAACCATGTAAGCACAAGACCTCCAGCACACAGGGCTATGGCATAAGCAGCTAAAACAGGGATTTTTTGGCTTTTGGAGAACGGGCAGGAGGAAATGTATTTTCACATTGGCAATTCAAATATGGGATATTCTGCCAAAGGGCATCTCCGAAGCCAAGAAGTTAATTAGATTCAAAAGAGGTCTGGACATTTACACAAACTCTGAGGACACAGGGAAGCATCGCAGTGAATATTCCTTTGGCCAGCTTTGTCCTGTCTCTGCTCCCTCTCTGCTTCCACGGGAAGCTGAAAAAGCCCTTGACTTAACGTAAGCATTATTTAGCAACATCTAACACAATATGTGTTATCAGCATCATTCTCCTACTAAATCCAAAACCCAGCAGCTACTAGGAAGAAAATTAACTCTATCCCAGCTGCAACCAGGACTCAAGGCAGCAAGTGCCCAGTATATGCAGTGCTGGGATTCCTGCCCCGACACATGAAAAACGCCCAAATATTTATAGCCCGAGGAATGTCAGGCGCCTGGTTCCATGCACTGGCTGGATGTTTGCTCCGAGAGCAGAAACACCGTCCTTGAACTGCTGGGGATGAGGGAGCCAGGGGCCAACGGGCTGCGCCGAAGAGACACCGGCTCCAAGAATTACCATCTGTGGAACTGCTGATTAAACATAACCAGGCTGGGAGGAAAGCTCAAACACATTCTTTTGTTGGCTTGTAGTTTGCATGTTCACCCTGTCTCTGATGAAACGTCAGGGAAGCCTTGAGGAAAAAAATAGCTTAAAACGCTCACAAAATGCTCACAAAGGCTTGTCCCGATGCCAGTTTGAGTCCCTCTGTGCAGATTCCCAAACCAGAGAAAGCTTTGATGCCAGTGGGGCACACGTTCTCCACAATACTTCACTCCATGGCTATTTAAAAAGAAAAAACAAACAAACAAAAAGATTTCTCTGATATTTTGCCCTTGACTAATGTGCACTTAAAGAAATAAATAACCGCCTGGCCTCGCCATTGAAGACTGGCACAAACATTTCCACAAGCAGATTATTGACCAGAAGTACAGAAGCCAAGTTATAAACGGGTTAGTAACGCAATAAACAAAACACTAAAGCATTTCAAAACAGACCATACAAACCTCATTTTACCTGCCCTCCTACAAAGGTAGTCAAATATCTATTTATGAGATTATAACTACCTATTTTCTATGCCATTCAACAAAAAGAAGAAAAAGAATCAAGATAAAAAGAGAGCGTATTTTAGCTGTAAAGGATTTATTCATTCAATTTACATTTGAATCAATTATCCAGGCAAAGCTCAAACACTGCCAACGTGATTTAGGTGACTGAACACACATCATAAATAGTGCAGCATTCAAGTCATATAATCTGTATCTGCAATTTCTGGATAGCTTCATGAGCAGGAAGAATACCCTGCCTCGCAGTGTGCCTTGATTTCTGAGCAGCAGCAGCAGCGTGCTTTGCTGTGGTTAGAACAGAGCCTCTGAAAACTCTCATTTAAAGAAAATCCTTAGTTTTACGTTCAACCCAGTGGACTGGGGATAAACAGTTAGGACCAGCACTGACCATGAGCCACAGGTGGAAGAGCTGAACGAGAGCAGGGCATGGACTGACCAGGCCGAGCTGGAATTTTGCCTTCCCACCAGGCAAGCCATGAAGCTGTCCTTGCTGATCATTCCTGGAGCAGGCTCAGACCAGGAGAGTCCCTTGCTCAAGCTGTGCACAGAGGAGAAGGCAAACAGTGGTTGCCTCTTGCAGGTTTTGACAAGGTTGGATGTTCAGTAGATGTTATCTACGGAAACTTTGCCCACAATGCTTGGCAGCAGCAAGGATGCTGGTTGAAGTACTCACCACCCTCCCCCTTGCTCGCTCCCCACAACTCCAGCCCGGCTCTGGGAGGTTCCTCACAGGTACAACTTGATGATCAAACCTGAATATGAAGCTGAACATTCACTGAATTCACTGTTCACATTCACTGAACTCCTGTTTGGCGGGAAAGTTACAGACCAGCCTCTTGGAAGGACCTACCCTAAAGTTGGTAGAAAATCAGTCTCATCTACTCTTTGAAAGATGGAAGGGAGGTTTTGCAGCTATTTCCTGTTCTGTGGACAGGAAAAGAGGTGTGGAGGCCACCCCTAGCCCTGAAATATCACCTGTTGCCCAGGCAGACCCACCAGCAGCCTGCTGTCATGTTTTGACACCCATTTGTTGGGCTTGATCTCATGCCAAGAGGAGGTTGAATGCAGGCAGTTGACAGGGTACCTGTGCAGCCCTGCTGGCTGCAGGGGTGGGAGGAAACCCTTCTGCTCCCCTGGGGTCCATCTGCCCACCCTGTTTCTTGTGGTCTGCCTGCAAGGTTCAGCGGCTCGCTGTCTCCTTGGAGAATAAGAAATTCCTGTTACAGGGAAAAAGATCACAGGTTAAGTGCTGGCAAAGTACAGCCATTTATGTAGAGCAACCAAAAAGAAAGCAGGAGCAATAGTCAATGTCCCAGAGTTTCCCTTGAAGCGTATGCCCACATACAACACTGGTTTGGGAAGCAGCACTTCTAGAAGAATGTGTTTTTAACAAGGAGAATGTTTGTTTAGACCCTCTGTACTTTCTTAGCTCGAACTCAAAAGTAGACACAGGAGTTTTTCCCCCCATTAAAACAAAGCAATCAAAGTTTTAGAATAAAGAATTATGTGACTCAAAATATCTTCAAGCTCATGATGGTCTCTCTCTTTACTGTTCAGCGCCAGAGACACAACAGCAAGCAACTCCTCCTCTACCTCAAGATTTCCTTTTTCTTGCAGTAGTTATCGCACACAATACATCTCTAGGAGAACAACAGATGAGAAAAAAAAAAAGCTCAACTAATTTCACAACCAAAGAGTGAATCCTCTCTTCTGCTAAGTTTTTCTCTAGTAGAACATATCTACCCTGCAATAGAATTTAGCCTTGCACCAATGCAAGAGGAGAGACAAAGAATTATGAAGCTATGAATTCCATTAGCATCAAAATGCAGCTACGGAGACAAGGGGATTTTACGGAGATAAGGTATTTTTTGAAAGAATACTAGGAGGAGGAAAAATTTCTTTTACAAAGCACACATTTTTCATAGAACTGGAATCCACAGCACATTATAAAACTGAATTTGTTGCTGTTGTTTTTACTTTACAGCATTAATCACTAAAGGCTTGCTTAGGTGGGCAGAAAAAAAATCCATTTTCCGTTGTATTAACTTCATACAATTTAAGAAGCCTTTCAAGACCCACATAAATGCAATAAACACTTCTGAGCCCCGCTGGTCCTGTGCTAGCCCAGGCACACGGTTGCACAGAACACAGCCAGCTGGACCTGCCTTCTGCAGAGGTACCTGTGCTGCTGCTCCAGAAGGCAGAAAGCACTTAAATCACGGCAGCTCCATCTACTCAACGCTTGATTTAAAGCCCTTAGGAAATTAGCATTTCCAGAATACCGTTTCCAGTACCGCAGGGTGCAATTCTGTTTAATCCTACCTCCTTGCACAAGTGGTAGAATTCACAGCCGAAGCAAAGGCACCACACATAGATGCACAGACAAAAGGGACATGCACGTGTGACAGTGGGGAGAGGTGTCCCTTGAGCCACGTCCTGGCTGCAGTGCACAGGACATGTTTCCAAGGACAACGACAGCCTTGTTCATAAATCCTGCTGGCAGGAAGCATAACTGGCCAACTACCGTTTAGGGGCAGGAGATGCCTCCTCAGAGGTATTTGGTTCTACACAGCTTCTGCTAGACGTGATATTTTAAAAGACACAGTGTTGAGAAAAGCCTCTACACACTGAGATACTGCGGGGAAGGAGGAGGAGAGGAGACTCACCTTGAATCCCACAGTGTCCCCTGTGCAGGGGGGCAGTAAACATCTTTGTGTGTACTCCTGGGATCCCAAGTGTTGGGATTTTCCCAACTTTGACACGCTGAATTAACAAACACAAAGGTCTCGACACCCTTGGCCTGCCCAGTCTCCCCATTGAGGTTTGACTAGAACCAGGATGCAGGACAAAGGGGAGTACCAGAAAGGTTCAGTGCAGATATTTAACAAATTTATTTTATATTTCCAAAAGCTTTTGTGCATTTACAATAGGGGAATAGTGCCCCAGTGACAACACGCTGCCTTTACTCAATTCATAATAAAATTATCTTATTACGATGCAGAAGAACAGATGGATTTGGTACATGCATCTGGAGATAAACAAACCTAAGTCAGGTGTATGCAGAAACATGCATCAGGGCTTTTGTATTTTACTGTTAAGCCCCCAGACAACCACATCTTCATACAATATATATATACACATTGCTTTAGCATATAAACAGCGCAGTCTAAGAACCAAACTGATGGCTGTGTATATACAAGATTCCCAATACCCAGCTTGCCTTTTATGAATTAACACAGGTAGATATGCCATTGCTCCAGCAAAGAACAGACCCTTGAACTGCTCCAAAAAAGGGGAGAGGGAAAACAAACCATAACCCCCTCTTGGCTACTATAATTTGGACTAACAAGAAATCAGGGAAGAAAACGTCCCTGTGGACTTACAGCTGATATCCAGAACAAAAGCTCCCAAGGGGTCTTGAAGAAGGTTGATCTGAAAAACAAAAAAGGTGACCTCCTAAGACAGGCAGAAGGACTCATTGCTGAAATCCTACCCCACATCATCTAGTAGGGCGTGGATTTCTTCTGGAAAGGCTTTGCACACCGTTGCCATGTTCACAGGAGACAGTGTGAAAGCTGTTTTGGCATCGCATGGCAGCATCACTGGTTTGTCCCCCACCCCTGCCCACAACATGCTGCTGGGACCTTCACTACCACCCCGTAAGATGCTCTACAGCTTCCTGCAGGAACTGGCAAGAAAGCTGTTGTGAAACTTCAGTCTCACCAATGGCCTTCAGCTCACACTTACCTCTAGAGGTATTTCAATGGAGTAACTCTGCACTTTGGGTGGCTTGGGCACATATGGTTGTCCCTTTCTCAAATGCAATTACAGCTGCATGGAAACAAGGATTTATGGATGAAACATCAGTAGAATCAATATATCAGATCAGGTAGAAAATCATGATTATGAGCTGCTGCTGAACTGTGTTAAGCTACCTAAATTAACTTAATTAGGTATCAAAACAAGTCTGCTTGATATATAAGAGATATTTGTTTTTTTAAAAAAACCCTCAGTCCAGTTTAAAAAAGTGGGGTCAGCTCCCAGTCAAGATAGCTCCTCTGATAAACTTTTAAAAGCATACCTTGAGATATAGGCCATCTCCGCAAAAGTTTTCTAGCTCTTCTCAAATTTATATTTAGAGAACAGGGATGCCAATATTCAGCAATTTAAAGACAAAAACCAAATCAGAAATATCAGACAACAGATTCAAAAGAAAATAGGGAGACAATTAGGATCAATGCTCACCTTTACATGCTTAAACTTCCTGTAAGCCCTCAGTACTGCTGCAATTAGCTCTTCACAGGTCTGACGGAAACAGCCACATCGGAAGACATTAAACTTTTATAATAAAAAGAACTTTGCCCATCCCCACCCTCCTCCTTTCTATTTTCTGTAAGTTTTTCATTTCCCATATGTTTAGGGCAGCATTTAAAAATAGAGTAGCTTCTCTAAACAATTAGAGAAGACTCCTGTGGTGCTCCCTGTCTCAAAGCCAGTGACAGATCGATGTGTGTGCAGCTGGGACAGGCACATCACATACAGAGGGGTGCCCAGAGTGTCACAGCCCACACCAAACACCCGCACAGAATGGGAAAGCACCAGGGCATCTCATCCCCAGCATTATCAGGTGCACAAGGAAATTGAAAAGGAGCATCACCTACAATTTAAACAGCACGGCAGCCTCCTATACCCAGTGGAGAAGCAGCTTGAAAGTATTTCAGGTGTCTGCAACGCATGAGAATGTTATTCCATTTCAGGCTTGGAGATTTAAGCTGGAGTCAAGGGAAAAACTAAGGCCTGGATTGTTTTTTCTTTCAGAGGTGGCAGAATCTCACTTGTGCTGTCACACGTTGTTTCAGAGATGTCGTTATTCATTAGCGCTGCAGGACTGAGCAGAGATTTCCTCCTCCTCCTCCAGAGATGGGGCACAGGAGGATAACACACTCAGAAGGGTTTCAGGTGTAACAAAACTACGGTTCACTCTGCTGCCAGCAGGGACCCGTTTGCTGCAGCCCTGGAGAGGTGACATTCTCATCATCAGGAAGATAAAACCAAGGTTCTGCCCCATTTCAGCAGTGGAGGTTTGCGGGGGCGGGGGGGGGGGGGGGGT